ATACAGCATGGACAAAGGGAGATAACTCAATTAACACTTCCCCACAGAAGCATGCTTTACTTACTACTTCATTTCTTGTATTCTACCATCTTTCTTTGCCAACCGTTACAAATGATTCAGAAATGGTTCCAAAACTAAGAATAATGTGCACCCAGATTTGAGTATACTTACAATATCGTCTATTTTCAATATACTCCTGACTGTTTCAGCTGCCAGGGAAATAGCACTGGTTGAGACAAGAAGAGGTTGCACCACGTTTTCCTCAAGGATGTTTGTTATAGCTCCCTGAAAAACAAGCAATGGTGAAATCATAACGCACGTCATCTTCACGAGTCAATAAACTCATAACATCCTGAATACAAATAAACTTTAACATCAAAAGCTCTGGGCCAATCAACTCCAGTTCAAAGTGTTTTGGGGTCATCTTACACCAATTCATGTCAAAAGTCCCAAGTGAGCTTGAGCAAGCAAAAGAAAGACTAGTTTGATACTCTTTATATCAATATTAAAAGTGTCCTGTTACTTAATTTAAGATTTGCAATGGATCAAAAGGGGAGCTTAACCTACCTACTACTTTTCATGTCAATTGGATCTCATCATATATAGAATAGTGGTTTTTCTAACATCAAGGGCTTAATGTTAAAGTTACTCAAAATTTGTTTTCTTCATACATGATCATGTATAGTATTATCAAACAAGTACACAATCACATTAAAAATGTGAACAACAAGCAAACAAAAATCACAACATGTCTGGTGGCACATCAGAGTGTTTTTTCTCAGTCAAGATTCTTGATGGGGAATCCAACACAAAATAACTCATCATTTTTGCCACTTGAACACGTTGGGTTAAAAGAAATTTTTTCCCAAATGTTGCCAAATTGAATCACCCTTGTACAGGCACACAGGATTGGTATCTCAGGCAACTACATAAACCAGACGTGACAGCTCACGTACCTTTCTGACATTGATTCCGGCTGTCCTCTCTCCCTGAGCATGTTTGTTTCTCAGTTCCGTTACTGTGGCGATGGGGTTGAGCCCAGCGTTCTCTGCTAGTGTGAAGGGGATGATCTCTAGTGCCCCAGCAAATGCTCGGTAACAGTACTGCTCCATGCCTGACAGAGTGTTGGCATACTCCATCAGACGAAGAGCCAACTCCGTCTCTGGGGCACCGCCACCAGCAATAAGAGCCCTGAGTAGAACAGATCAGAGAATGTTACAGTACTTGGTGGGGATGTTTTTCAGTACATAGTAATGGTCACTATTCAGTGTGTTCATACTGTTAACCAATAAAGTATTGAGCTGATTGATGTGCAGGGCTCCAGATAATTTTTCATGATCAGGAGTATGTACTCCTTATATTTTCAATATAGGAGTACTGGAAAACAATAAGAGTATATTTAGAGTACTGAATCGAATTTAATAGAGTGAGTGAGTGAGTTTAGTTTTTACGCCGCTTTTAGCAATATTCCAGCAATATCACGGCGTGGGACACCAGAAATGGGCTTCACACATTGTGCCCATGTGGGGAATCGAACCCGGGCCTTCGGCGTGACGAGCGAACGCCTGAACCACTAGGCTACCCCACCGCCCGAATTTAATAGAGTATCAGTTATCTTGTGTTTCGTTTCATATATGCACCACAACATTACTACTCTTGTGTTAACAGGTCAATAAACAATAAAACAAAACTTCTTCAGATAAATACATACATAATTGATTCTAAGACCGTACACCATTGCTGTGGTGTGTATCTGCTACGTTTTCTAAATTATTTCCTACCGCATCGTGCTTATTTTATATCCCTACATACGCTGATACGGCCCTTATCTGGAGCCCTGGTTGTGTGTTGTTTAACACGTATTCAAAACCATTCCTCCAATATGATGGCAGCCAGAAACATGACATATCAGAGTGACAATCCATTCAACAAAATCATAGAGCCTTACAACATGACCCATTACTTATCCTCTTATACCCAAGATAGGTTGCTTTTAACCACAATCCCTACAGAAACGCAGAAAAATGATGATTTAGGTACCTACCTCTTCTTGACAAGACACCTGATGACACAGAGGGCATCATGGAGTGACCGGTCTGCCTCCTCCAGCACCAGTTTGTTGGATCCTCTGAGTAGAACACTGATGGTCTTTCCCTGGTTCGCTATACCAGTGATCTGGGAACATCAACAAATGTCAGTTGATGAATATTGGCCGTATCACCAAACTTACATCAAAGTATGTGCTGGAGCAGGAAAACTTTCATTTAACTAATAGTGACTGATGGTAGTCCAAGATCTAAGAACGCTGCAACAAGAATCATATGCCAATGCTCACTTAACCCATTCTCAGGTATACAGCAGGTATATTCTTAAGCTTGGAAAATCTGTTCTCTCCTCCCTGCAGAATAACCTACTGAGGTAATGATGTTCTTGAAAGGTGAATAAAAATGTTATAAGTGCCTCCGCGACCCCTCAGATTCTGCTTTTCTAGTAAATCGTTAAGATTATAAGCTAGATGAAGCCTAACAATAGTGAAACATTGTTATACTTGAAATGACAACATAATTTCCCAGTTTGTTTGCTGGACGTAATGGCCAACCTTGACAACTTTCTCAATGCCTGTGGAGATCTCCTCTGCCAACTCAGCAGAACCGAGGTTCTCTGCTGTGAAGTGGTCCAGGCTGGCAATGGGCCGACAGTTAAGTGTCTGGAAGTATAATCATTATTCATCAACATTATTAAATGGAACAACAAAAACACTGCTGTATTTTACATTATTGAGTCTTAATGTTTCGGAAAAGTTTTTGTTTTATTTCCTCTGAGATCAGTATGAAGTTGAAGCAACAATCTTTCAGGTACTGGTCAACATGCAGACAACAATGTCTTACAGGAAACATACCTTGCTGACAAACTCTACTTCCTCTCTCTCAATGTCCTTGACCACCATGATCTTCATTTTTGCCAGGAAATGAAGGGCAAGGTCACTCACAGCATCCCTGTGTGCAAAACGTTTAATATCAAGATTACCCAGTCGCATATACCTATTATATGAAGAGGAACAAAAAAGTTAAGTCTAAAAGTTATGACCAAAACTATTTTGAACACTGTTTTCTTTCAAGAAAGGTTCCAGCGATATCACAGCTTGTCAGCTTAATGTAGGCGAGTGATTGAGGAAGTGAGTTTAGTTTTACGATGCTTTTAGCAACATTCCAGTAATATCACGGCGGGGGACACCAGAAATGGGCTTCACACTTTCTACCCATGTGGGGAATCGAAGCCGGGTCTTTGGCGTGTCGAGTGAACACTTTAACCACTAGGCTACCCCACCACCCCGCTTAATGTAGGAGGTAGGCTGAAAGTGATGCAGGTTTTAGATGTTAACTACATTGGTAAATAACCTTGGTGACAGGAATGGCGAGGACAAACTTGAAAGACAATAGCGGCAAACTGGGACCTAAAAGAGTCATTCTGACTTACTCATGAGACGCGCAGCAACTTGTGGTGCCTAAATTGGGCTATGTATCAGTCTGAAGATGTATGTGTGTCCGTTATTACTGCTGATATATAGTGTCATCAAAAGAAGAACGTTACTATAATATAGCACTACTGTATATAACTGTGATCAATGTCACTTTCAGCTATGTTGATAGAAGGTTGCTGCCCTATTGTCCAAGACATACCTGAGAATTGACTTCTGTATAAGCAAGAGATTACAGCCGGCTTTCTTGACCTGCTTGACAATATTGAGGATGTAGTTCCTCTCTTCCTTCAACACCCGGTCCATCTGACTGTAGTCGGACACGATCACCTGGTTCTCCATCTGACACACAATCAAAGAATGGACCATAAAGTCTTCAAATTTTCCTGAAGCTCATGATATGCAAATTGAAACATTTGATGAAATATGAAAATAACTAAAAACTACCAAAATACCATTGAGACTGACTAAAGATAAACGCACGCACTCACTTCATCATACAACTTACATCTGTTTTAGGTGGTGAAATGCAGAACTGGATGAGAGCAATCTTGGCTTTCTCTATTTTAGTAGGTCCGCCACTAGAAGCCTTCTGTGTGAATACAAGGCCGTTGATGAGCTCAGTGTCGTCCACGGTGCCACTGTCAGGAAGAATGACAGATGTACAGAATCAAGATAAATGGATCCATGTTGCATGACTAACTTCACTCACTGATTGCACTAATACTGAAGTTCTGGTGGCCCGAGTGAGTGAGTGAGTGAGCGAGTGAGCATGATTGTTTTAGTCGCTATTAGCATATTCCAGCAATATCACAGCAGGGGACACCAGAAATGGGCTTCACACATTGTACCCATGTAGGGATTCAAACCTGGGTTTTCAGCATGACGAGCGCACCTTTAACCATTACGAGCGGGCACCTTTAACCATTAGGCTACCAAGCAAGGATGGTTTTGTTCTTAGATTATACTGTGCTCCAATGATATGAAGGTGAACGACAATCTAACCTGCACCAGGTAATCCAGTCATTGTTATTAAGAACAATGATCCATGCTGTCAGAATACACTGCAATCAGTGAAGTGATCACCTGGTCCATTAAGTTGACTCTTACAACAAGGGGGGGATTGCTGGGGCCCATTCTTACCCAGTATCACCACTGGGTTAGAGGACTTACTGACTGAGTTTGGTTTAACGCCTCTTTTAGCAATATTCCAGCAACATCACGGCGGGGGACACCAGAAATAAGCTTAACACATTGTACCCATGTGGGGATTCGAACCCGGGTCTTCGGCGTGACGAGCCACGCTTTAACCATTAGGCTACCCCACTGCCCCTGGGTTAGAGGAAGGCAACTAAGTTGATATTAAGTCAACTGAACACACTGTAGCAACTAACCCGAGTTTCTTGATGATCCTGATATCCTTCAGATCGACGTTGTCTGCTGTGGTAGGGTCAATGACATTCAGAACAGTATCAACAGCAATTGGTGACAGGATGTTGGAATATTGCGAGACAACCTGAAAAAATATAATCACACCATGACATGAACACATTTAGAACCATCTGTTCCACTGCATGTCTTCAAACAAGCTCATTAGTATTTGTTCTCAATATTGAATTTCATATTTCCTTTTCTTTATGCAGCAACAACAGACTGATCAACATACACCATTGTGGTAAGGTCATGCAATGAACCATGTCCCCACAGGGTTTTAAGTAAGGGCAATGAACAAGTAATGCTGACGCAACTAGCGATATCTGACTTGTTCCAGGCTAGGCAGTAGGTGACTACAGTCAAACACCATTGTTTTGAAGTTAAGGGACCTACTTAGTTATTTGTGACTTGACACAACTGACTGACTGACTGAGTTTGGTTTTACGCCGCTTTTAGCAATATTCCAGCAACATCATGGCTGGGGACACCATAAATGGGCTTCACACAATGTACCCATGTGGGGATTCGAACCCGGGTCTTCGGCGTGACGAGCCAACGCTTTAGCCACTTGGCTACCCAACCGCCCCCTTGACACAACTAGAAAAGGAGACTAAAGGAATATGCAAGAACTAAACTTTTACTGTAAGTTCAACACATAAAAGTTTGACAACAGTGTTGGAGTGTATTCCTCAGGCTGTGACAGGGCTACCTTTGAATTGAGTGAGGTAGAGGCACTCTTGAGAAGTGAATCCCTGTCTGACAACTCTAGGGGTGTAACCATGCCCTCTAGGATTTCTACAGCTTTGCCTGCGGCTCCTTGAAACGACTCGGAGATTGTTGTTGGGTGTATACCTAAATAAAAACATTAAACACTGGAATATACTTTACTACAGTTTGTATGCACCGTGACTAGCATCCTTACAAAAGATAACCTCTTTTGAATTATGTTAATTCTTGTTCAATGTTTCAGATGCCAAGTTCATTACTCATAAATTTGGATTTCACTACAATTTCCTCTGTAGAACATGTATTTATCTTTCTAACAATTAACTAAAGGATTTGTAGCATGATTTTGTCTGTAAATTAGATTCCAAGGATTTCTGATTGATACTAATTATGCTGCCCTATATATACGTAGTGATGAGACATGTCAGGGACAATAAACTCTGCATTCAAGGTATCATAATAGTAATAGTTCATAGCTACAAATCTGAGATGATACAGACCTTTCTCAAGCAATTTTGAGCAGGCATCCAACATGCTCCCTGCCAAGACAACCACTGATGTAGTACCGTCTCCAGCCTCAATATCCTGGGCCTTGGACAAATCAACCAACTGCAACAGAACAAGTCCCTGTCATTGTCTAGATCAAAGTGAACTCAACTGCCTTTCAATATTGATACTAAATCTGATACTATAGGAAAAACAACAACACAATTTTTGTACAACAGCAATGTAGCTAGGTAGTGGGGGACTCACCATCTTTGCCGCTGGGTGAAGAACCTGCATCTCCTTCAGGATAGTAGCTCCATCATTCGTAATGGTTACATCCCCATTGGAAGCCTGGATCTGTAACAAACTCTACCATTATCACATGTCCTCACAAGCTAGCATATAAAGGGCCACCCTCAAATAAGTGCTCCTTCACCAAAATGTCAAACTAAATGGTGACATGTGCATTACAGTGCTGTGAAACCAGGCATCCTATTATAAATGATGGAAGACACGTTTTTCTTAAAGTGGGGATTGTGTAAATGCTGGTGATGTGCTTTGTTCAAGATCACTTTGCAGACAGCAATACATAATTAGTATCAATTTTAAAGGAATAGACAGAGGGGGCTTGCCACATACAGGGAGTCACATAACAGAGATCGATAAATGGTACCCATATTTGTAGTGTTTCTAATATCTGAATGACGTAAATTATGAACTAATTGTGAAAAAAATAAACTGATGTGTTAATTTGAAATGTAACTAATTTTCAAAAGAAATGTTTATCCTTCAAAATCAATAAAAAATTAATCACCATTTTGTCCATGCCCCTAGGGCCCAAGCTTGTTCTGATGGCATCTGCTACAGCTGAAACAAGAGATTTGATCATATTACAACAGATACCTCATGAGGACAGGCAATGAACATCACCCACACAGCATTATTGTAGGCCGATCAGTAGAGACCTGGTAATCCCAGTGGAACAACATATTCTAATATAACTTCCTTGAACAATTGCGCAGATCGATGCTCATGCTGTTGATCACTGGATTGTCTGGTCCAGACTCCATTATTTACAGACTGCTGCCATATAGCTGGAATATTGCTGAGTGCAGCTTAAAACTAAACTCACTCACTCCTTAAATGAAACCTTATAGCAACCCTACTAGGCCACCTGTGACCATATAATTGCAGTAAGTATGAAGGATAACAAGAATGAATTTATGCATGGCAATGACATTAAACTAAGAAATGTTACAGTAACCATGGTAATTACAATTTGGCATGGTGTGGTATGGTGTGTGTGTGTGTGTGTGTGTGTGTGTGTGTGTGTGTGTGTGTGTGTGTGTGAGTGTGAGTGATGCAGTGTATAAGACTATTGATATCACAGAAAAGAACTTTATCATCATTGTGATAACTGATTTTAAAGACTGTAATATCATTATGAACATTGACAGATACAAATTTCATTTCTTGATACTAGAATACAGTACCTTAGCAAATACATGTGACAACTGTCAATACAGTCACAATAATAGTAGCTGTTCTCCATCATGGGAAATGTAGGTTGCAAGTAAAAAACCTTTTGATTGTCGCAGGTCTCACTTTCAGACATAGCATAACAGTTCATAGCACTTGACCAAATCCTTATAGATACAAAGAATTTAAGAATGCCAACAGCAGTTATCGGGTACCATGCTACAGATGCCTGGAATGTCATGCTGAACTTGTTCCTACTTGATCTAGAATATTCTAAGAATACATTGCACATGTAGCACAGTGAATGTTTACCATGGTTACCATTTTAAGAATGGGCGAGTTTTACACATGTGTACTGGTTAGCAAATGTATGTACAAACACGTTGTAGAGTGAAACTGCAACTTAATCTGGGAAGTCTACATACATATTCCTTCCACATACACCGTGTCCTAAAAGTCATGTTTACATTTTGTTACCGTGTCGGCAGCTTACCTTTAGCTGCAATAAAGTTGCTTATTCTGATTTGTGTTGGCTTGTCTTTGTCTTTGTATTCAGATCGGCTGCCTTCATGACTTTTGGATTGATGTGCTGGCATTTTGGAAGAGGAAATGGTAGTGGATGGCAGCGGATTATACGGGCATGAGTTTCTCACGCCGGCAGACACTTCTAGAACTATCCAATATGGCGGCCCCCATTGACTCAATTCTCGAATAAACGAAATCAGCTAACTCATCAACATTTATATAATTTTATCAATTTTTGACCATGTATATTCGTATCTGTAAGATCGATTATGAAATCATCTTAAATCTAGAAACTTTGTTGCTATTTACTTATGAAAACGAGGCCTGACGTCAGAGTGCGCGGAAACTTGAGTTGTCGCGGGAGTTTGTGTAGAGAATTTTAGCAAAATTTTATACTCCGATATTAGAGTGATTAAATCATTGCAAAAATGTTGTTCAGAAGTATATATGATAGATGCGAAGGTACGTATGGGTAAATAAATGTAATTGTGAAATCAGTTCATAAGTTTTCCTGTGACATTGTTTTAATAAATTGCCGATGAGGTAGCTGAAGAAGCCCTTTTGAGTTTTATCAATCAAAACATTTTTTTTAAGGTAAAAATTGTGAGATAAAAGTCAACGAAAGTAGTGAAAAATTCGACAGTTTGCAAGCAGATATTAAAGCAAATCACCAAGGAACAGTTTTGTTTAATGTTTAATTACTGTGATAATAGAAAATGCTCATTAGAAATATTTTCATATTGGATGTTGATTAAATTTTGTTTTCTGTCACAGGACGGCGGAAAGTACGAATACAAAGTTTGATATCACCTTTGCTTGATCAGTTTGAGTCCCTCACCAGTGACGATTATTTATTGGCTTCAGAGGATGATGGGGTAATTACAAATATTTACAAATATTCTGTCCTGTTTCACTTGAGCAGGGGTGGAAATAACTTTAAAATTGCTAGTGTACTCCGGTACAATGGCACATGTAAAATCACTTGCCCTGATAATTTTTCCACTATACCGTCCGTTTTCTTGTTGATTTTTTAAATAAACAACATAATTAATATTGGAAAGTCAACTGGACACCGGTACAGTGTGATATACAAATTTGCTTGCCCGACAGAAAAAACACTGGACTCGGGCGTCGGGCAATGGGTTATTTCCACCCCTGTTAAGCAATATTATAATTGCTCAAGTATATAATTTCTGGTAATGAATACTTTGGATATATGATAAACAGGCATGCAGAAAATGATACACTTAATTATTAGGTCTGGGACTATACACTATGTCACAATACGATACGTATCACAATATTTTACCTGGGATACGATATGTATCACGATACATAGACCTTGAAAGAATGGCACAGTACTAAGATTTAAAATGAATGGCTGGTAGTGGCTGAATATTACCGAACAGACAGCTGGTTTAACGTGAGTTGTAAACTTTTAAAACTTGCATATTTTTCTCCAGATAAGTACTTTAACATGTTAAAGATAAAACTGTGAAAAAAGTATCGTTTTGTAATGATACACCAGTTGACAATACGATAGCTGTATCAAACTTAAATGTATCGCGATGTATCGTGCATGTAGAATTGTCCCAGCCCTATTAATTATCCTGTTTATTATATCTCTTGTTTTTATATGAATGCCATGGACCCTTTACCTGGCATTTGTTTTGTACTGAACCCAGACTAAAAGTAGAAGGCTCAATCAAATGTTTGTAATGAGATGTAGAAATTCAGTGCTGCGATTGGAGCAAATGGGATGGTGACATAACCTTTCAAGCAAAGCAATGGTGACACAGACACAAGTTCTATTTGCAGGTTTATCAACATTTGTAAATATGAAGTTAAGATTGATTCAAAATCACCTTTCCATTCATACGTTTATCATGACAAAGTCAAGACGTGAGATCTGACTTCCATATCATCAATGTGTGAAGCTCATTTCTAGTGTCCCCTGCTGTGATATTGTTAGAACATTGCTAAAAGCGGCGTCAACCAAACTCACTCACTCCATATCATCAATGCCCTCACTGAGATTCTGAGATAAAGTTCATATCTGAACATGTTTCAGTCCAATGGTATTTGTAGAATTCATTTCATATATATCTTGTCCATACACTTTATGTAGTAGTAGGATGAGATAATGTTTTGACTGTAAACATTGTAGTGCCTTACAGGCAACTCTGGTTGTATACTCCTCAGGGAGCTGAGAACAAAAGTTGAGTGCCGTCTGATTCTTTAGTGTGAATTTGGTGCATTACATGCATTATCAATTCTAACCCAGATCTTTACTCGTGAAGATCTGGGTTAAAATTGGTCTTCAGTAAGGGGTGACTAACAGGATAGGGTGGTCAGACTTGCTGACTTGGTTGACACACGTCATCGTATCCCAATTGCGTAGATTGTTCAATGTGAAATTCCCTAACTGGAAAGCCTACATTTTCTTCCTTGCAGGTGTCTGTCCCACCCCTTGCTTGCAGCTTCTGTCCAGGTAATTAACTACAATCAGTGTTGCCCTTTTGTTAATTGAATTTTATTCAATCTCCAGCCCTTGTACAGTTCTTATCAGTGCAGTGTAACATCACTGACATTTCCAAATAAACTATTATTATCAAAAATGTTCAATGAAGTAATGATAAGAAATAGCAACAAGGTATGAATTTGTAAATACCTGCACAAATGTTTCAGGTAAAAAATGATTTGGACCTTGTGTGATTTCTAAGCAATATCATGTGGCTCATAATTGTGGTTTTGGGTGGTGGGGTAGCCCAGTGGTTAAAGCGTAGGCTTGTCACGCCAAAGACCCGTGTTGATGGGTACAATGTGTGACTCCCAATTCTGGTGTCGTAATTGGCTTAAAACTAAACTTGCACACTCATAATTGTGGTCACTTGGTCTTTATTTGGTTATTTACAGGCTGCTGACACATTGTTGGAAAACTGTTGTTGAGGAACACAATATAAACTGTTCTACTCAAAAGACGTTTAACATGCTGAAGAACACCCATTGTTTTCATGTAACTGTAGTTAATGCTGACAGATTGACTTGTCATATAAAAAAATAGTTTTTTTAAAACATTTCTGAATAGTATTTACACCATGAATAGAATGAAAACCAGAAATATCATTTTCCAGTTGCATCCTCTAGTCATATCCTGAGCCTGGTAGATGAGAATGGTTACCTGGTGCTGTACAATACATTACGCACTGGGACAGAGGCCATTCTGACAGGTGAGGCATACAGGTCTTTACCAACTACTGCTTCTCACCAGGACCACACCTGTTTGAACCAAGCTTAAGTCAGTGGGTGTCGTGTGTGCTAAAGATATACTGTATTTTGCAGCATGTACAGCATTTGCCTGGTTATATTATTAATCATGGAAAGGTATGGATTAATTTGTGTTACTCAAATGCAGTGTGCGATATTTGTTAGGATTTTGAAGTGTTAATATATGTGTATATCTGAATTGTGAGAAATGGAATTTCATTGTTGTATGTATGTATGTACATCAAGTTCACACAAATGCATTGTTTAGATGTAAAGAATATGTACATCCCAAGACTCGGACAAAAAGTGAACACACCAGCATGAACTTCATTCACTAATTTATCACCAGTTTAAACAGTACCAGGTGCTTATTTAACAGTACATTTATAATTACCATTTATGTGATAAGGTCAAGCAGTAAATTCTTAGATGTCACATATTATTTAAGAGGATCTTTAAACCTAAAACTGGTACTCTGGACTTAAAGTTTACCAAGCAAAGGTAAAACCGCGAACTATTGTAATCAGTAGTTCTACATCTTCCCAGAGTGGCAGGCCCACAACAATGCCATCTTTGACCTTGCCTGGATGGAGTCGGAAGAGAAGATAGTGACTGCGTCTGGAGATCAGACAGCCGTGTTGTGGGACCCTCATACCAGTACCAAGATGGACGTGTTCAAAGGCCACACAAGCAGCATACGATCTGTCGTCTTTAGGAAGTTTGACGATGGTACAGATGCAGCTCTTTTTGTTTCAGATAGCACATAATGTAGTCATTAGAAATCTTGTGTTTCTTGAATACTTGCTTTTAAGTTTTGAATAATTAATTAACTAATTAATAATTATGATTTTTCTTTACATTGTTAACAGGGCTCCAGATAAGGGCCGTATCGGCGTATGTACGGATATAAAATAAACGCGATACGGTATGAAATAATTTAGAAAACGTAGCAGATACGCACCACAGCAATGGTGTACGGTCTTAGAATCACTTACAGACGTATTTGTCTGAAAAAGTATTGTTTTATTGTTTATTGACCTGTTTACACAAGAGTAGCAATGTTGTGGTGCATATATGAAACGAAACACAAAGATACTCCATTAAATTCCATTCAGTACTCTAAATGTACTCTTATTGTTTTCCAGTACTCCTATATTGAAAAAATAAGGAGTACGTACTCCTGATCATGAAAAAATATCTGGAGCCCTGGTTAATTAGTATAAAAAAATATATGGCACTTATCTATGGTCATGTGTTTCTGCACATTACTATTTTATGCAGTGTGTGAAATTGATGCTGGTCCTGTGGTCCCTGACTAGTAAAAATTCATAAGGACCACTAAAGGATAAGTTTGCAGTGGTCCTGGTGGCCAGTGATTTTTTCACCATCCAAATAATTAAAACTATCTTTAAATTTGAAAAGTGAATAATACTCGCAAGTCGAAGTGCATGGCAAAATGGGAACCAGTTTTACATTCGCAATCACTCCAGTGGAGCAGTGAAGTACAGACAGGACCACTAATTATTGTCCACTCACTGGCCCTGTGGTCTAGTGGGAAGTTTTGAAAGGTTTCTGACACTGTTTATGTATCGTAAGATGTTCATGTAAATGCTCATCACTGCACCATGCTTAAAAAAGTAGCTTGAGTTCATTTTAGTTTTGCATGAATTTTGCTGAGTATATTTACCTTGTCTACTTCGATCTTTCCTTTTCCAGCTGTTTTAGCAACTGGTTCTCGAGATGGCCATGTCATGCTCTATGACAAGCGATGTGCACACAAAGGTAATGGCAACCATCATAAGTGTTTGTATATTATCAGATTTGTGTCTCTGAAACAATGATATTCTCCCTGTTATATTAAATTAGGGTGTATTCTTGGAAAGGGGTCGGTGGGGTAGCCTAGTGGTTAAAGCGTTGGCTCGTCACGCCGAAGACCCGGGTTTGAATCCCCAAATGGGTACAATGTGTGAAGCCCATTTCTGGTGTCCCCCACCGTGATGTAGCTGGAATATTGCTAAAAGCGGAGTAAAACCAAACTCAGTCACTCAGTATTCTTGGAAAACAATATAATCACATATAAATTATAATAAATGTAATGATAATGTTAATCTGATACTTGATCAGAACATTCTAAATGTTCTAACAGATTATCATCATGGACTAACATCTTACTGATCAAGATTCTTGTTTGACTGTATATTTTGGCTTTGTCACTATCATATCTGTCAATCCCTCCGAAGATGAAATTAATCTCTGTAACTGGAGAAGTGTTGAAGTTTCTTGTATGACATATTGGAACCATGGGGTGGAGGGGTAGCCTCGTGGTTAAATCGTTTGCTTGTTATGCTGAAAACCCAGGTTTAGTTCCCCACATGGGTACAATGTGTGGAGCCCATTTCTGGTGTCCCCTGCTGTGATATTACTGGAATATTGCTAAAATCGGCACAAAACTTAAAGGTCACATGCAACCAAAAAATGAAACATAATTAAAACACAATTATCACTTATTCATGACATATAATATACATTGCTGGTTATGAAAAAACATATGAACAAAATTATAAGCGTACAATCGCAAATCAAAAGTGCAATATTGTGTACTTGGGTTTACTTCCCCAGAAACGAAGCAGCCGGGATACCGAACCCAGTCAGAGCGGGTGGGTGTGCACTCAAGTGTAACGGCTGGTTCATTTGCAGATGCCCTCACGGGTCATTGTGTGTGTGTATATAGAGATGTTGGGTTTTGTAAATACATGCTCATTTTTTGTGTATAGCATTTTGCAATCAACAGACATCATAACATGTCATGTGTTCAAGTATCACACCTGCCTGTCTGTGTAATTACATAATGTGACAGAGACCGAACTCGGGCCATAAATCAATGCATTTTGTTTATGGTGTATAGCCTGATTGGTGTTAAGTTCAAATTGCATGTGGTCAGTGATAGCAGCTGTGTATTGAATATTGTCATTAGCAGACAGGCAGGCAGACACACAGGTGTCAATAAAACAAGACATTGAGTTTTGTCTGTGACAACGACATATCTATATCACAGTTAGAAATTCTGTCAACGCTAAATAATGACATTGCTTTTAAGTATCGAACTGAGAAAGTGACTCGGTAAGAAGAACGTGTGGTGAAATAGACAAATATAATTATATAAACAGTTAATTTACTGTCATAACATATAACAAGCTCGCGCCTGTGAGATATCAACAAAACATTAGAAAAAAAGCTCACACCAAAGCCTTCACCGAGTATTCACCGGACAACCGCTTCCAAGCTGCGCGAACCTACTTCACTGCGCACGTGCTATAAGCGCAGCCCAGCTGTTGAAACCCGTTTTCCCCAGAAAAGTCTGGGGAAAATTAGTGAAACGTTTGAACTCCGATTTCGCGCGTTTTTTTTCATCGCGTTATTTTTCAACTTTATAAGTTGAATTTGCATTTTTGATGATTTGTTTCGGTAAGTCCATACCGAAAGGTATCAGAATCTGCAAAGTTGTGTTTTACGTTGCATGTGACCTTTAACTCACTAACTCATATTGCAACCTTGTGATAAGGATTCCACCAAAGTGCTTCATCACAACTGTAGTTGTAAGTGTATTGCATGTTGTCTACAGAAGGCTACATCCCTCCCATGAATGTGATCCGCAACGCCCACTCGATTCAGGGGGTCAAGAATAAGAAGCGCACCAAGCTAGGGATGGTCATGGTGAGTGGACTGACACCAGGGTACAAATACTGCACACTTTTGTCTTTGTCTGAGAACTGGGGCGGTGGGGTGGCCTAGTGGATAAAGCGTTCGCTCGTCACTCCGAAGGCCCGGGTTCGATTCCCCACATGGGTACAATTTGTGAAGCCCATTTCCAGTGTCCCCCGCCGTGATATAGCTGGAATATTGCTAAAAACGGCGTAAAACCAAACTCAGTCAGTCAGTCAGTCTGAGAACTATTGCTTTTAGTATTAGGCTGTTACATTTTTACTATCTTTTCACTTTTTTGATTTTCTCAAAATTGAAGGAGAAGATTTCTGTTGTTAAATGTTTGTTACTTGGTTTAAAATATATGTGAGTTTGGCTCAAAAGGAGGGGCAGCTGACAGATTTGTGCAGTGGTGGATGCTATTCAGTACCAATATCAGGTTATTTCTGCCTTGTAATATAGTTTGGATTTGGTTATAAGACTCATGACTTGATTTAGTGGCATGGGGTGTTGTTTACAGTATCAACCGTAGGTTTGCCTGGCCTAGAATTATTTAGACCCAGAAACACATATATATACTTGTTTTGTACAACAAATGATATTTTCTCTACTAGCATCTACTCACCAAAACATCTATTGACATGATGTGTTTACAGGACAGCCAACAGAGTGTGACTGTTGTAGCGTTCCAGTCGGACATGTTGCTCATCTCCTCAGGAGCTGTGGATGGGTAGGTACTGCTACACTACATTGGTGTGGAGCAGGTAGCTTGGGATGGGGAACAAAGGGTAGTCAGCATTTGGGACGTAGGGAGCAGAGAGCTGGGAATAATTGGTATGGGGATAGGTGTAAGGGATGGGTTGGAAGCAGAGGGTAGGGAGTAATGGGCATGGGGATAGGTGTAAGGGATGGGTTGGAAGCAGAGGGTAGGGAATAATGGGCATGGGAGTAAGGACATGGGGAAGGCAGCACAAGGCATGGGATGGAGAGCACTGGGTAAGGAGAATTGAGTAGGGGAAGATGGCTTGGAGTAATCCAGTGCCTTGAGCATGCACCAGTTGCGTGGATATGTGCTCTATATAAATATCCCATACTATTCTAATATGCATGGGGTAGGTAAAAAGGGGTCGACAGCATAGGATGGGAGCAAAGGGTAGTGACTTTGGGTAGGGTTAGGGGAAGATGGCTTGGAGTAATGGGCATGGGGAGCAAAGGGTAGTGAGCTTTGGGTAGGGGTAGGGAAGATGGCTTGGAGTAATGGGCATGGGGAGCAAAGGGTAGTGAGCTTTGGGTAGGGTTAGGGAAGATGGCTTGGAGTAATGGGCATGGGGAGCAAAGGGTAGTGACTTTGGTAGTAGGGTTAGGGAAAGATGGCTTGGAGTAATGGGCATGGGGAGCAAAGGGTAGTGACTTTGGGTAGGGGGGAGAGATGGCTTGGGTAGGGGCATAGGGGAAGATAGGCTTGGAGTAATGGGCATGGGGAGCAAAGGGTAGTGAGTGGGTAGGGGAAGATTTGGAGTAATGGGCATGGGGAGAAAGGGTAGTGACTTTGGGTAGGGGTGGCTTTGGAGTAATGGGCATGGGGAGCAAAGGGGTAGTGAGCTTTGGGTAGGGGTAGGGAGAAGATGGCTTGGAGTAATGGGCATGGGGAGCAAAGGGTAGTGAGCTTTGGGTGGTGGGGAAGATGGCTTGGAGTAATGGGCATGGGAGCAAAGGGTAGGAGCTTTGGGTAGGGTAGGGGAAAAGATGGCTTGGAGTAATGGGCATGGGGAGCAAAGGGTAGTGAGCTTTGGGTAGGGGTAGGGGAAGATGGCTTGGAGTAATGGGCATGGGGAGCAAAGGGTAGTGAGCTTTGGGTAGGGGTAGGGGAAGATGGCTTGGAGTAATGGGCATGGGGAGCAAAGGGTAGTGAGCTTTGGGTAGGGGTTGGGGAAGATGGCTTGGAGTAATGGGCATGGGGAGCAAAGGGTAGTGAGCTTTGGGTAGGGGTAGGGGAAGATGGCTTGGAGTAATGGGCATGGGGAGCAAAGGGTAGTGAGCTTTGGGTAGGGGTAGGGGAAGATGGCTTGGAGTAATGGGCATGGGGGCAAGGAGTAAAGGGAAGATGGCTTGGAGGTAATGGGCATGGGGAGCAAAAGGTTAGTGAGCTTTGGGTAGGGGTGAAGATTGCTTGGAGTAATGGGCATGGGAGCAAAGGGTAGAGGGTAGGGGTAGGGGAAGATGGCTTGGAGTAATGGGCATGGGGAGCAAAGGGTAGTGAGCTTTGGGTAGGGGTTGGGGAAGATGGCTTGGAGTAATGGGCATGAGGGTAGGTGTTGGTGTAGGTAAGGCTAGGTGTTGGAGAGCATGGGGTAGGCAGGGTAGAGTGTAATAGGCATGGTGTAGAGTTAGGGTAGGGGGTAGGCAGCAGGGAATAGGGAATGTATGGTAGGGGCCACTTGTGATTGTGATCCTTGGTCCAAACTCTTACCTGAAGGTTCATGAATGGCCTGAATCTCTTCCTGCTTTAATCACAGGTTTTCTAGATTGCACTTTTTGTTTCTTTAGTAGCAATGTGCATTACTTATAATGTTCTTTATTAGTATTGTTTAGTATTGTGCATATTATACTTTATGTAATAGTGTGTGAACTGGTGAGTGAACTGCACAGACTCACCTCTAGACTACTTCTTGAGATGCTTTGAAATCAACTGTAGTTGTGTCAAAATTCAGCAAAGTTGATAGACATGGGAAGGGAAGTAACTCTCATACTTGACTGGAAAAGAAGATGCTTAGATCATTAATATTCTGATGAAAGTGAACTGGATGTCATTTTTCTTTCCCTACCCAGATAAAATGAGTCATCATTCTACATGATTGAATGTTGTGGCTATAGGTTTATTTACCTTCCAGATGTATAAAGATTTGGGATTTACGAAAAAACTACTCTTCACTCAACTCAGACCCTTTGGCTCGCTACAGCTTCCCTTATGAAGGACCAAGGGCAAGTAAACATGGTAAGCCCATTAGTGTCTCATGTTCTTCTTGTGTTTATCTGATATAGGATTTTGATCTATTCTGTTGTTATTCTTAGCTCCCCAACTGAAGGTACTCGTATCATATATCTGTATATTGATTTCTGTTCGTCCATCCGTTTATCCATCCATCCATCCTTCCATCCACGCATTCATTCATTCATTCATCCATCCATAGGCCCACCCACTCATTCATCCAAAACATTAACATTTTCTCTCTTTAGTCTGATACCTCAAGGTCACTGTTGTATAGCATCTCAGGGTTTTACCTTGCTCTACACCGCCTGGAGTGCGGAAGGTTGCGGGTTCGATCCCCTACCGCGTCATACCAAAAGACGTTAAAATATGGTACTTGTTGGTCCCTGTCTGGCTCTCGGCATTAATGGGTACAACGACTGGTGGGCTCGGGGTCAGTATAATGTGTCTGAGTGGGGTATTCATGCTTCACTGCGGCATGGTATCTCAGTGGGTTAGCACTATAAAACCAGCTTCAGTCTGGGCTAGTACAAGCAGCCGCACATACACATACACACGCATGCACGTCGTCATATGAGCGAAATATTCTCAAGCACGACGTTAAACCCAATTCCACCACCACCACCTTGCGCTGCAATAATGATCCCTTATCACCAATGTAAAGTGTCATGTCGTGTCATTACAGGAGATGGTCCTGTAAAGTAATCATGTTGTGTAGTTTATTGCAGTGTAAGGTGAGATCCTTATGTTTATATTGTCGAGAAGTTAGTTAACTTAAAGTTACTGTAAGTCCCTACTTATTGCATATTTTTTTTAGATCATTCTATACATTTGTGTCTATCACATAAACCCCTGGAACTATATGAGACATACATTTGACAGGTTATTCCAGCCTGACAATGGACTCGTATGGTACTAATTTGTTTGCCAGCTGTACGGATGACATCATCTACCAGTACGACCTTGTCACATACAACAAACATCCTGGTAAGTGTCCTTACACCACGGACTCTGTCCCTTGCAGTTCTCAGGGATTTATCCAGCCATGTTCAGAGCATGCTGAGATTCAGAAAATAACAACAGAAAATGAATCCCAATTTTCAACAAAAACATTCTCATTTTCATTTTCAAGGGCCTTAGTTTTGGAATCAGGTAAAATCCCTGGTACTTTGTGTCATGATACATGTATGTTATTAGAGGATATGTATCAGTACAGAAAAATACAACTCTCATGCATACAGTTTTAACTTGAATAAGGAGAACGTGAAAAATAGTATGAAACTAAATTGTGAAATGCAACTGACAGTATGTACCTCTTCAAGAACGGGGGTGGGTGTAGCATCACGGTTAAAGCTTGTCACGCCGAAGTTTCAGCTTCGATTGCCCACATGGGTAAAATGTGTGAAGCCCATTTCTGGTGTCCCCTGCCATGATATTACATGGAATATTGCTAAAAGTGGCATAAAACCCAACTCACTCATTCACTTTAAGACCATGTTTGCCTGTAAGGAGTGCTTTTCAAGAACTCCTCTGGTAGAAATTAGCATGATATGCTCCATGGCCCTGCTCCCTGCACAAACCACATAACCTGAGGATACCACATAACAATGAAGTGTATAACTATGGTCCTTCTGTCTTCTTTTGATTTACATTGGTAGACTGGGGTTGGTTCATATTTCTAAAATGAATTGTCTTCATGAAACCTAATGTTGCTATTTGCTGAATCCAGCCATGAAAATCCTGGTCAGAATCTGTCTTCAGCAACCCATATCTGTTATAAGAGGCGACTAACTGGATTTGGTGGTGAGGCTCACTGACATAGTTCATGCATGCCATTGTATCCCTAACATGAAGGGGCAGTGGGGTAGCCTAGTGGTTAAAGTGTTCGCTCGTCACACTGAAGACCCGAGTTTGATTTTCCACATGGGTACAATGTGTGAAGCCTGTTCCTGGTGTCCTCCGCCGTGATATTGTTGGAATATTGCTAAAAGCGGCGTAAACTAAACTCACTCACTCACTCCAATCATGAAGGAAGATGCTCGCATTGTAAATCACTAGATTGTATGGTCAAGGCTCTATTATTTACAGACTGCCATTATAAAGTAGCAATATTGCTGAGTGTGGCATTAACAATAAACAAAACACCATACAAATTTCTGAATGTTGAAGCCTGTTTCATCAATAGGGTGTGTTTTCAGTGAACACCTTCCGGGGCCATCAGAACCATACATTTTACGTGAAGTCCTCCATCAGCCCGGACAACGACTTCCTCCTCAGCGGCTCCAGTGACTCCATGGCCTATGTGTGGGAGGTGAGCAGTTGGTTCCACATCTCTTCTTGCCACCGTATGCCTAAGGACAGTGTTCACGAATGCTGTTTCAAAGTAACAGGACATAGGGTCCTGTAAGTTTCAGATGTCAGTCTGACCCTTTGAAAATTCACAGGACCCACAGAATAAAATTAAACACACATTTCAGATTTAACAGTTTTTATAATTGGCATTGAAATTATTAACAAGCATAATATTTATAAACAGCAAACAAGTGTCACATGTAACAACTTCAGTCAAAGTCATTGTGAAATATACAGTCAAACATTGGGACCGGCGGGTGGTAGACTTCTATCGGACCGTTGGCGAATCTGCCGGATTTGTCAGAGGGTCAGACGCTATTCATGAACACTGAAGTAATTACTATGGTTATAAATACTAATGAATCGTGGAGGGTCAAGGCAAATTGGTATCTGTTGGGCTTACTGTATGAGAATTATGGTCTGGGTTAGATACGAAAAAAACATCCTGGCAGTATGCTTGGTAGACCTACCATGCCTTACCTGTCTTTACTGGTCACTTTATAGAGGCGTACTATGCTTACTTTCCGATCAAATATTACAGTGAACTGAGTGCAACAGGATTTAACATCAGGTTATAAAATCATTGGTTGCTTAATGCCACTTTTACGTACTAGCTGATACCATACTACAATCTATTCTGACCAGATCTTGTTATACACTTAATGCAGAGTGATATGGAAACAAGTTGGTATGACAGTCTAACCATTGGGGCGGTGGGGTAGCCTAGTGGTTAAAGCGTTGGCTTGTCACGCTGTAGACCCGGGTTCGAATCCCCACATGGGTACAATGTGTGAAGTCCATTTCTGGTGTTCCCCGCCGTGATGTTGCTGGAAAATTGCTAAAAGTGGCGTAAAACCAAACTCAGTCAGTCAGTCAGTCTAACCATTACACTACAGAAGTTATCTTATTACAATCAATGTGATATACAGTTTCATAATCAACAGTTTACCAAGGTAATGGTTAGATACTGAAACACATCTGTGTATGAATGTAAAGATGGCTTAGGTCTTCTATGCTTTGAGAATTCTGGCACCCAGTGTCAGAATCTGCCTTATAGGTAGCGCAGGTTAGGTGATGAGAAACCATGAAAATGTTTTCTCAGTAGAGTAAGTCTAAAAGATTAAAAACCTGTTCACCTCCAACCTCTACCCTGCATGTGAACATTTCTACTTTAAGCCACAAAATACATCCTCAGTTTGTATGGAACTGCTCTTACACAGTGTGAAATAGTTTCCAAATTTTGCTAGCCAGTCTGGCAAGCCATGCCTGAAAGTTACTAGCCCACAAAATAATTCACTAGCCCGAATTTTGAATGTAGAAACTAACAAAAGATTACACAAAGGTAAGCTGCTAATATGATGAATGTCAGGACATAATCTTGCATGATTTAAAAGTGTATTATAACTTAACAAGTCGGAGAGAGTGATATATTTACAAAATAACCCCATAGAAACTCACTAACCAGTTGGGCCAGTGACTGTGGAGATTTACTGGCCTGACTGGAATTTTACTAGCCACAGGCTAGCGGGCAAGTGGCTACTTTGCACACAGCTATTACAGTTCTGATTAGATGTTACTTCTGAATGGAGTTTACCATTCCTTATACTTGCCACTGTATTCTGTAGATCGACAAGCCCAACAAGTCGCCAGTTGTGTTGAAGGGACATCGGGCAGAGGTCACAAGTGTCGCGTGGAGCAGCCATGACTTCACAAAGGTAAACAATAGCTGCATAATGGATAGTGTGTTCACTTGTAGAGCAGACAATCAGGGGGTTTGATTGTGAACAGTGCATTTTAAGACTCCTGATTTTGTGATCTGTATGACTTCTGAACCACAATGTGTTCAGTTACATAATGAATAACTGATTTGTATTGTATTTGGGAACATGGGTGTTTCAGTAACCTGAAGTATCACAATTTGAATGGTCTTGTCTCCTTTTCCAGTCTGATTTATACAGCTGTGCTGTGTATCTTGACATGGCATTATGGGAAATGAATCCTTACCAGCCTTGACATCAGTGGTAATAGCATGAGATTTAAAATGGTTCAGCAAGTATGTATGGTTACATGACAATTTGGAGAAAATGTGTTAGAAAAGACGAGTGAATCAAAATATTTTAACATTTTCAGTAGTGAACCAATAGATTGCCATGTACCATGTAACAGAAGTTATTGCACTAGAAACCTCAAGTGAGGTGACCCACTCATTTGAAAAAATTATCTGACATCTCTGCTACTGTTATAGCTATTGCTGTGTGAAGAAATGGGGTGTGGGATTGTTTCCTGCTAGTATTGCTGTAAATGACCTTGTTAAAGATCTGATGAAGTAATGGTTTGTCAGTTGCTACATAGGGTCAAATGGGGTAACTCCAATAATGCACTCACTGGGACACAACTGCTTCAACTTTATTTACATCAAGAATGCAGTTCTCTGAAGTACCATTAAAACTTTAGACCAGAAATTAACAATATGCATTCAGGGCTCGATTTAGTGCTTTGTTGCTTGCACTGGTGCAACCCAATATTACAAAGTGTAACCAAGTTATTAGTCTCACTTGCACCAGGTGCAAGTCAATTTTCTAGTGGGTAAACCTCTGAATAAAGCATCTAAATAATTCAATAGCATATTTCTTTCATTACATATTGCAATAAAAGCAGTGCAACTGGAATTTGGCTGGTGCAACTAGGTTTTTGTCTTAGGCTGCACCTGGTGCAAGTAGGTTAACATCTCTTAAATTGAGCCCTGGCTTTATGTAAGACAAGCTAAGTACTCAAGAAAGAATATACTAAAATATTTGTCAAGGAGTCCTCATTATTTGTGCAGAAACATTGCTCACAGCACTGTCAGTCAAGTGACTCCTAGTTGATATTTTTATCTGTTTATTACACATCAAGGAGAGCTATAGTGATTTTGTATTTCAATTTCTTAACGCTTGTATTTATCAAACTCCTTGCCATGTTGTGTTGAAGCTGGCCACGTTGTCAGATGACAACTCCATGAAGTTGTGGAGAGTGTTGCGGAGAGTCAAGCCACCATTGTTTGGGGAGGTAGCAGGAACAGCAGAGAGGACCCACAGAGAAATAGGTGATTATGTTAATATTCCCTATGTGTTTGATCCTATAGTTCAGATAACACAGGGTAGCTCAATGATTAGCATTTTCAATATTCACAGTTTTGAAAAATACATAAATTTTGTAACCACTTTACATGGAACTGGCAAGCTGTTTCTAGGTTCAGTTGTAGCAAAAATGCTACTCATCTGCTGTCAAGTCCATACACTTGGACCCGTGAAGATCCGGGTTACAATTGATCTTCAGTAACCCATGCTTGTCGTAACAGGCTTGGCGACTATTGGGATCAGATGGTCAGGCTCGCTGACTTGGTTGACACATGACCTTGTATCCCATTTGCGTAGAGTGATGCTCATGCTGTTGGTCACTGGATTGTCTGGCTCAGACTCAATTATTTACAGACTGCCGCCATATAGCTGGATTATTGCTGAGTGCGCTGTTAAACTAAACTCACTCATTCACTCACTCCATACACATGGTATTGTAAAATTCCAGGTCTATTCAATTGATTATAAGGTATTGTTAGAGGTTGCCTTGAAGTTAAAACAATTATCATAAATAACTCATAATGATTTAACAGTCCCTCAATATGTACAGTTTCCATTACAGGAACTTCAACCATACCCACAGCTAAGGAGACTCCCAAGAAGCCAACCTGTCCTGCCAGGGAGTACTCTCCCCTTGGTAAGCCTCGATCGTCACCAGGGGGAAAGTCTCCCAGTGTAGGAAAGTCTCCCAGTGTAGGAAAGTCTCCGTCCATTAAAGACTGGTTTAAAAAACAATCCTTTAAAGAAAATAAGCCCAAAGTCCTGTGTTCAGCGAGCAAGTACATTTACAGTCTCCACAGAAACCCACTTTCCATCCCTCTCCTCGGAAAGCATCCAGGATGAAGTTAGACGAGGATCAACAGGATGCAGGCTACTTTCATGGCAGCAATACAATTCCTTTCAAGGCCTATGTGGAAAAGGAGAACAGTTGTTCAGCTAAGAAAACTTCAAAAAGGAAATTAGACATAGGTGAAACAAATGAAACGTGTAAACGGCGCCATATTGAACAATGCAGTCCAGCCAAGAGCGATATGGTTTTACGTGATTTGGAGGCGGAATTAAACAATTCAGAAAAGGCAAGTTCATGTGATATAAGATCTGAAGGAGTAAAAAATTCTATTATTGACAAATGTGCAAATAGTGAGAAAGGAGAAGTGTTTTCACCAACTCGCAATCTCCCCAACCTTGTGGTGGATGAAGCTGAAGGTCGCCGAGAACGACTGTCACTGGCAATGGCAAGCCCAAGTCAGGACAAGAAGTGCATTGACTGGCTTACGCAGATCCGCCGCAGTAAACATGGACATGGAAGGGGCATATTTCCGAGTCCAGCCAAGTCTGTGACATCAGAGGATGATATGTGTGGACGAAGTGACTGCTCCTCCCCTGGCAGATCTATTACAAGGGTAAGTAACCGGCTTTGGGGTGGTGTTATGCTTTCTTTGCCTCGAACTTTACGCCGGACACCGATGTTTAATGCTAAAACATGCATGGGGCATTTTTTGTCACAGGTCATAACCGAGCTCCATATGTCCACTAAGTTTCATAATATATGTATAGATGGTGATTGTTTGCGTCACACGTTCTGAATAGAGGGATTTTACCCAAAACTTTCATCTGAACCTATAAGTTTTCGTTTACGAGCACGGTATCCATTGCTGTAATATGATTGGCTGCCTTAGGTCACATGCACAATTGTGACCAGTCACGATCCTTATAGCAAACTCTGGGAAATAAAAGCGCCATTAGAAAACCAACCTTTATCCAATAAAATCGCTTCTACAACTGCTTGAAAATACTCTTGGCAAAGGAACAATAATATTGTTTCTGTTCAGAGCTCTCGAACGATACCCACCATCAAACGAATCGCCTCACATGTTATTCATACAAAGCTTCGAAAACTGAGGTATTTCCCGCTGTTGCATCACGTTAGCGAACGGAAAGCCACTGATATCGGGAAATAGACGACCATACATATTATTTGAGAAATCTTTTTAAAAATAATTTTCAAATATTGCGTCCATAAGGACGCACTGGATTTTCGTTTGGGGGTCCTTCATCAAATTTCTGCGTCCAATACGCAGGAATCCCGCGTCCCGTAAAACCCTGTTGGGGGCATATGGTTGTCTCCCTTTGATTTTCTGTCCCATGACTAGGTAACCCACCCTGTGGCATATGTTGTCTCCCTCTGTTTCTCAGTCCTAACAATAACTTAACCCACTTGGTAGCGTATAGTTGTCTCCCTCTGTTTCTCAGTCCTAACAATAACTTAACCCACCTAGTAGCGTATAGTTGTCTCCCTTTGTTTCTCAGTCCTAACAATAACTTAACCCACCTAGTAGCGTATAGTTGTCTCCCTTTGTTTCTCAGTCCTAACAATAACTTAAATCTGTAACCCACTTAGTAGTGTATAGTTGTCTCCCTTTGTTTCTCAGTCCTAACAATAACTTAACCCACTTAGTAGCGTATAGTTGTCTCCCTTTGTTTCTCAGTCCTAACAATAACTTAACCCACTTAGTAGCGTATAGTTGTCTCCCTTTGTTTCTCAGTCCTAACAATAACTTAACCCACTTAGTAGCGTATAGTTGTCTCCCTTTGTTTCTCAGTCCTAACAATAACTTAACCCACTTAGTAGCTGCAGATAGTTGTCTCCCTTGTTTCTCAGTCCTAACAATAACTTAACCCACTTAGTAGCGTATAGTTGTCTCCCTTTGTTTCTCAGTCCTAACAATAACTTAACCCACTTAGTAGTGTATAGTTGTCTCCCTTTGTTTCTCAGTCCATGGGTAGGGGACCCACTTTTAAGACAACATTGATAAATCAGTATTTGAAATGTTAGGAATGGAGAATAAAGATCATATTCCCTGGCTTGAGAAATATATGTTACCTGTCTTGATACATTTCCTACATGCTAATACAGAAATTTCAAAATTAATGTGAAAGCATATATATTTAAGTGTACATGCATAACCTGTACACAGCAAGTAATACTTTCACTGAAACAGCTACTCTCCATTACTTCAGCAACTCTCTGTTCCATATAAATGGAATGCTAAAACAATACAATGATGTCACAAATGTAATTTAATCTAAATTATTATTCTGTATGATCAAGTTACGAACACTTTGAGGCAGGTGTGCCCTGACAATTTGCATACATTTACATTGTTCTCTCCTTGTTTGCAGACACCAGTGAAGGGGATGAAGTCCATCTTGAACTATTTCCAGAAGTCAGCAGAGAAAAAGCCAAGGAAATAATGCCTCATCCTTTCAAAATAAAACTAAAATTATCCCAAAGCCTTCCAATTTCAGTGGTGCTGCCTTTTACTGCCTATTGGCTCCGTGGTCCAATGTCCATTTACAGTCTCTTGAAGAAGTATTTATGTGTATACAGCTATAGGGCAAGTTGAGAATGAAAGGAAACAAATTTGAAATATAGGTAGAACTTATAAATACCTATATTTTGTACTTGGCTAAATTCTGCCTCAAATCAACACCAGATGAAAGTAGAAACACCCAAACAGGCATTACAAATACCAGTCCATGTTGTAGAATGAGGTATACTCTGTGAAACTAAGTCTCTGAAATGCAATGTGAACTTATGCCTTAATTTGACTTATGAATAAAAATCTCTATTTTGAACAATTTCCCCCAGATTTGCTGGTATTAGGCTCTCTTTTTTTTGTATGCTATACTAATACTATTACTAATAACTGCATTTTCAGTGATACTGGTTTATTTGTAATCTTAAAAGATCATTTTGAAAATATATCAAGCACCTGATTTGGTACCCGAATATATCTTGGTAGAGAGTGACATCAAAATAACAATTATTTTCTTGATGGGATTATATGATTCAGAAGAGATGCTTTATTACTGGCATCAGTTAGTTATAGTTCAAGACATAAGGCTATGTTTCTTGGCAACATGAATACTATTTAACAATATACAAAAGAATATGGAAAAATGTATATCCTGACTTGTACCTGGTTTAATTTGGTGTCCATACCTCTGTTAATTCAAAGTATATCAGGTGGTAAACTATTCCTAGGATTATTTTAATGTTTGATCTCCAACAAATTGTGATAAATATGTTTTTTGATAATGGTGTACTGTGATGACCCATAGGTTTGTGGAAGTAGGTGAAGCTGGACTATCAGTATGTGTGGTGTATAATCTCCTTCATCACCATCAATGTCACACTCAGTGTTGAACGTCATTGTTGCGTGGTGTCAAATTATTAAACATGGGATGAAATGGGCTCCAGACATGTTATTATGGATCATGAAATACAGACAAATGTCTTGTTTGATTTGGTTAGTTTTCATGAAACAGGTGGATGGTATGAATATGTTTGTGTTGTGCTCTGGTGTGGCTGGTACTGATCACATTGTCAATGATTGTTCATATTTTGTTATTTGTTGTCTTTCATACAGTCATCATGAACGAGATTTGTAAATAAAATCCTGTTGATATAAGATGGCGTTTTGTTCAGTTTACAAGATGATGTCCTTCAGATATCATATGTTTTCATCATTTGAATGTGGACTCTGTAGCGATAGATAGTTGATACCAAGTGGTCAGTATTTTAGCAAAGTAGTGCCATTCTCACAAATCCTAAATTGACTCTAAAACAAGTCCAATTATATTGCCACATCTGTCAGTAATGTTTGATTAAAAAACAGGGCCTAGACTTTTGAAGCTCTTAGCTCTAAGATAGTCATAAGTGCCATTAACATTATCTTATGACAATCTTAGCCCTAATAGAGCTTCGAAACTCTAGGCCCAGTATTCTATACAACAAAAGTACCTGAAACTCTTCACTAGTTTTTAGACCCTGTCTTTCAAGATGAAACAACATAATTCAACATAATTTTGTAGAAGAGTTACAATTAGATATGGTCACACCCTATGCACTGTTGAAGACTTTAATATCATACCAAGGACTTGAGACAGTGTACATGCTATAGATACGTCTGTCATAGTGGAAATGCAATGTATACCCAAGTGGTTGCACATCATGCCAAGGACCTGCTTAGACATTATAGTACAACAGAACTATATTCCTCAGCTGGAAAGGGGACAGGTAATGTAAAGACCATGAAAGACTCAGGTGATCAAAACCTCAGTGCCCTGTGGGATGTCAGGTTGGAGAAATTCAAACCTGCCAAGCCACAGATCTGTGCTGATCCCAGTGTTATCAGGGTGAATATAACTGGTTAATAATAACATGATAATGCATCACCACACTCAAGGCAGGGCTTGATACTCATGCTTTCAATCATTGGTTGTTTTCCAGCTGATGTTATCACACAGCATAAATCGTTATATGTATGCATGATACATTGTCCCATTGGAGGCCTTCTGCTGTTTTGCAATTTTGAAATAAATATTTATTCTTCAGTGAGCAATAACTAGCATTTTGGATAACGTACGTTGTTGAATTAAGGCACATTTTGTAGATATTACGAGCGCTTCCAACAGATGTCGCTAACATCAGCTTGTACCGACTGACTGAGTGAGTATGGTCTTACGCCGTTTTAAGCAATATTCCAGCAACATCACGGCGGGGGACACCAGAAATGGGCTTCAGAAATTGTACTCATGTAGGGAAATCGATCCGAACGCTGTCTTCGGCTACCCCGAGCGAAGGAGTTTAACCACTAGGCTACCCCACCGGCCCCATCAGCTTGTATGAGGAGTGAGTTGGGGTAAAGAGTTAGATAGTTATGCCACGGCCTGTCAACCCCACCGGCCCCATCAGCTTGTATGAGGAGTGAGTTGGGGGTAAAGAGTTAGATAGTTATGCCACGGCCTGTCAACCCCACCGGCCCCATCAGCTTGTATGAGGAGTGAGTTGGGGGTAAAGAGTTAGATAGTTATGCCACGGCCTGTCAACCCTACCGGCCCCATCAGCTTGTATGAGGAGTGAGTTGGGGTAAAGAGTTAGATAGTTATGCCACGGCCTGTCAACGTAACGTGGAAAGACAGCAGGAATGGATGCAGGCCTTAGACGTTTACCATTCTGGTGAAAACCACGAACTCGGGTATGTGTTGACAGACTTACCACGAACTCGGGTATGTGTTGACAGACTTTAGAAACCTCATCAGAGCAAACGGGCATAAGCTCCACAATCATTGGTTTCTGAAAAACATGAAATTACTAATAAGGTTACAACAGGAATGTTCAAATGGAGTTCAGTTGATCCCATTTGAAATCCGAACCATTCAATTAATCAGCACCTCACACTATATGCTTAACAGCTCTGAAAGGAACGGTGCAGACTCAAGCCTCGGGTACATGCACCTCTTACCTCTAGGGGCGACCTTACTCAACGGAGCAAACACACGGTGAAAATCTGGGCATGAAACGCATTTACCCCTAGTTTACTCGGTGGGTGGGGGTTGGCTCCATGACACGAGCAAAGGCAGTTCTGTTACACCTAGTTAGAAACTACGCCGGTATCAGTGCACATGGCCCGGGTCAGTCCAGGAAGATCATTAGTTGCATACTCCACTGGTACACAGAAACCTGTGTGTCTGATGAAAGCACCATCCGATGTCGTTAGGCTGACCTTGTAACTGGCACGCCAGATCGACGAGGGCACCCACATGTTCAACTCGTTTTCATCTTGTTAGATGTGTATTCATGTAACTTATCCTGTACATGACTCAACCAAACCAGCTTTCAGTTACGGCACGGATATGCGCTTAATTAATGTATGTATTCGCCCAGAATGTGTTGATTCACAAAAGTAGTAACCTGCAGCACTTTCAACCTGGCACGGTGATGTAACTGAAATGCTGCTTGAATTACCGGTAAACCCAACTCACTTAGTACACGATCATATCAATACCCTTGCATCATGTACAGGGCTTGAGTATAACCTTCTTTGTTAACAGTCGAGGAGCACATATTGCCATGTGTGTCGCATGTATCAGCAGTGACTTTCATTTGTTTTCATTACTGCAGGTTGCTCGGGGAACCTACTGGTTAAAACGTTCGCTCGTCAAGCAGAGAGCCCTTGTTCCTTCCTCACATGGGTAAAATTAGTCTGTCTCACAGTCCCTGAACCACATTATTTTCTCTACTGTTAAGCCCTCTCTGCAGTGCTAAAGCCCTAAATAAAGCAAGTCTAGATTTCCTCTGGTCTCCCCGGGGCTCCTTTTCAATTTAAATGGGCCTGTTTGTTACTATCAAACTTATCTTTTTAATTTAGAGAATAAGCATTAGTCTAGGGTAAAATGTATGAAGTCCATTTCGGATGTCCCCAGCTTTAAGGAAATGTATTTCAGGCTGTTCTAACCCAGACGCAAACACGATCATGTATTTGTTATATGCTACTACTTCCAGGGTGCCGCAGAGCCCTGTGTTGGGTATGAGTGAATCAGTGAGTTTAGGTCTACGCCGCGTTTAGCAATATTCCAGCAATATCACAAAAGATGACACCAGAAATGGTCTTCACACATTGTACCCATGTGGTGAATGGAAACCATGACGAGCGAACGCTTAAACCACTAGGCTGCCCCACCGCCCCGTATTAGGTGTTAGGATTTGAAGAGGTCATCATGCGACGATGTCGTATTGGCCACACAAGATATACTCATGAGTACCTATTAAAAGGTGAGGATCCTCCATTTTGTATCCCTTGTGATGAAAGAATCACGGTCAAGCATGTCTTGCTTGACTGTGTTGAATATTCCATCACAAGGGATATCTATTTCAAATCACGAACTATGAAGGATCTTTTTAGTAATATAAGTTCTCATTTAATTATTACATTTTTAAAAGAATTAGATTTGTTAACTGATTTGTAAATAGATAAATATTTTATGATTGGAAGTTTAAATTAGTAACTCAGATTGTTAGTGGCTGTATCCTCAAAGGGGGTTAAAGTATTGTAAAAATATTGTCCTCCTGAGAGGATACGTAAGTCCACAAACATTCAAAGTAAATTCAAACTCTCCACTATTTTTAATCGTAGAATATGTGTGTTTTTAAATGTATGGCTAGATTTGTCTACATTGCTAACGGCTGAAGGGATGGTGTAAATCCAGCTAGGGTCCATGCAGGAAGCAAATGTACTGTAAGTCCCCATGGTCCCTAGTATGGTGATCTATCTTCAGTCGTTGGCAATCTATAGCCTGTTTTTATACTGTATTGTCACTCACTCACTCCAATATTTTAGATTTAATTACTAGTTTTAAATGGATATCTGTGATACACTAGTAGTTTTACTGTTCTTCGTCAACAGTTTTTTAATGTCCTACTTTATTGATCTTTAATATACATGTAATTATAAACTGTTCTCGTCACGATATGGCTGAAATATTGCCGATGTGACGATAAATATTAACTCACTCACTAACTATTAGGTGTTAGGGAGATGGGTTTTATGTTGATACAACTAGACACTAAGTTTCCAACTATTTCCACCAAGTTATGGGGTTATCTTGGGCAGGTTTTCTGGGTCGCCTTATCTCGCCCTCGACATTTAGTACCCGATATAAACAGGTAACTGCTGGCACGCCAAGATCACATTAAATATATGAAAATAACCGTTTTTAATTGATTACACATTGAGATTAGATCGACAAAAGCTTCCTAAATGTTTTCTGGAGACTGCAAGCAAACTTTAGAGAAAGGAGGCTTAATTTCGCTGTTATGTCTGAAAATGACTCAAATTTCGCCATAGTGTTGCATAGTTTACAATAAATGTGCTATTCACCTATGCCTCACTTCTATTGACAGGTGGAAGCATGAACGTCCTGCTATGTGCGTGTCTGCTCGTGCTAGAAAGCATCTTCTGCTCCTGCCAGACTGATGGTACCAACCATTTATCAGCACTATTTTCGATCTGTCATGGAACACACCATACTGCAGTATAAACTTCATGTAAAACGCATGTGAAGACTGTTAGGGCTATGCTAAAAGATTTCGTGTGCAAAAAGTAAAGGTATTACCTATTTTCAGTTTTAACCGTGCTATAGCCTATAATGATAAATTATGTTTGGTGTGTTGTTATTCATTTTTGCATATTTAAGGTTACCCGTTTATTATTAATTTTCAGTTCATGTTGCCGTTAAATGCAAGTACCCAGCAGAGACCCGTGTCTCTTTCTTTTCACATTTTTGTTTTCTAGTTTGCTTTTCGCCTATGGATTACGGCCCTTGTGATGGATCGTTTCCCCGGTATTATTATGACGTCACTTCCGGCAAGTGCTTGAAGTTTTATTATTGGAGGTTGTGCCGGAAATGCCAATAACTTTAAAATATTGCAAGATTGTGTAGCAACTTGCAGTCAAGTTAAACCTGTGTAACATGTCTCATTCATTGGAATATCAATGTTTCAGGATTACTATGGTATTAAAAAATAAAATAAGAATATAATTATTGTGGATATGAGTTTTCTTTTTTGTAAGGTATGTTCAAAACCCTGGGGGAATTAGATCCCAATACATGTCTTACAATTAGTTGTTCTTGGTTAAAGTTGATTCTAATTACAAATGCTGTAGCCTGTACCCTCATTCCAGGTTTAGCACTTAAAACGTCCAGGTCTAGGATATGGTTCCAGCGTCTCGTCTTCGAGAAGTAAGGGTGAGTGAGCAATGCCAGTAGTTCATTGAAACACAAACAGGACTACCATATAATGTACGTCGTATTTGTGCGCACTTTAACTTCAGACCTGGTCCAAGGCGCCACTATGCACTGCAGAGTTGCTCCCCTTGGCCACGCCAGTCCTGTGACCATGGGTTCTAGTCCCGTTTGCCCTGATTCTGTGTCTGGATATGTCGGCACCATGCCCGTGCTTCATGACAGTGGTAGACGTCTGAGACCGGCATCACTTCGGACTTTCTTCCCACATTAAGCTGACGCGCCGAAATATATCTGGAGTACAATTCAAAGTGGCATCAAAACCCAACTCTCTCACTCAGCTTTTGCGTTTTTTGTAGCATCGGGTGGTTTGTGACGCGTCATTGAATTTGAGCGATTTTAGATGTACTTGCTCAGTGGCCATTCCTCAATTCGGGACCCGTGAAGGTCCGGGTTAGAATATTGATCTTCAGTAACCCATGCTTGTCGTAAGAGGCGACTAACGGGATCGGGTGGTCTGGCTCGCTGACTTGGTTGACACACGTCATCGGTTCCCAATTGCGCAGATCGATGCTCATGCTGTTGATCACTGGATTGTCTGGTCCAGACTCCATTATTTACAGACAACCGCCATATATTATTTACAGACAACCGCCATATAACTGGAATATTGCTGAGTACGGCGTAAAACTTAATTCACTCACTCACTCACTCCTCAATTCGGGTTGTTGCCATGCCACTATCGGTCGCTGTGTGACTGACATTTTACAGCATGCTTCTACCTTTTGTTTTTTTTTTTTAAAATCCCTAGATTGATTAAAACTAAGGTAAAGTGTCTTTTGGCCGTCAGTGTATATTCTACAACCAGCAGCTGATTTCTCAGGCCTGATACCCAATTACTCACTATCTATTCTCTACGTGTCGAATTTCCTTCGTCTCTGTTGCACACCACCAGGTAATATATTTGTTTTGTGCACATTAGGAATTAATTTCTTTGGATAATTTCACTGTGTCTGCACGTTCATGAGTGTAACACAATATTATAGTTACCTAGGTTATTTGATGTTTATCGCTTATATTCCAATTGTATGTATGGGCAGGATGTAAATGATTAGTTCCTGACTACACAATCCGGTGATGGATACAATGAGCTATGTATTATGGAACCGGCGTACGATGACAGATGACACTGAAACAACCGAGCTTGACTACAAGGCTGGGGATTTATTTTCATCTCCATTTCGTGCGGGAGTCGAGAATGGAACAACGCAGTGTAGACATGTAAATGGGTCACTTCGGAGACAAAGATTATTTGAAAGAGAGATAGCACAAGTGGTAAACACTATCACGGACTCTCTCTGCAGCGTGGAGAATGTACACACAGCGTGATAGAATAATGCAAATATTTCTTATAGCGTGATGGTCATATTTTGCTTAAGACATTCACGTGTCCCTTTATACATATATAGAACGTCATACACTATTGGATGTTTTGTATTGAACGAGAAGATGTCATGGGAGCAGAGAAACAACACCCCAGTATTACTATCCTAAGTTTACATGGGTATATAATACAGGATCATGTCCCCGCCTGCGAATATTGATTCAACATAATCTCAAATATATAGTGACTGACTGAGTGAGTGAGTTTAATCTAACGTCGCTTTTAGCAATATTCCTGCAATATTATGGCGGGGACACCAGAAATGGGCTTCAAATATTGTAGCCATGTGGGGATATCGGCGTGACGAGCGGATGCTTTAACCATACGACTACCCCACAACCCTCGATTATATGTATCTCACGTATACAAGCAACAGTAAACCAAATGTGAACAACGCATCATCAATGTACAAGGTGGACACACTCGCTACTGACAGTGTGGACTTGCTTTTGAACGCCTCTTATGCTGTGGCTCATTTGCACATGCCAGATGCGCTGTTCTTATGGACTGTTGATCGTTAGCATACCTCGAAACATTTGTCTTTCCATGTACATGTAATAACATTTCATTCGCGGCAGTAAATGTTTAACACTGATTCTATTTGTTTGTATGTTACAATTAATTTTGCCTTTGAGTATAATATACACATGGAAAAAGTATCGCAACACTTATGATTTTTTAACCCCAATATAGCCATTTTTATTCATATCATAATTATGTTGCAGTCAAGTGCAAAACGTGTACTGCGTGTCATTAAACAAATATTAAGTTCCAGTAAACTGTTCTTGCAGCTCGATATCTTATGAAAACAATTGATTTTAATAAGCAAATATAGGGCCTCCTTAACTGACAGTTACTGGTATGCGGAATGCTGGAATATTATTGAGGGCTATTGCAAGAGATGTTGGCTGTCATTCTTCGACTATCAGCCGGCTGTCAAGAAAACTAATGACGGCAAGGGTCGTGTATCCCAGTTCTGGTCGCTACAAGCGTTCAGGTCGACCAGGGGTGACCACTCCTAGGAGGATATAGCATTCGCACAATCATAAGACATTATCCATTCATGTCAAGTGGTCTGTTAAAAACATTGGCTTCCACATCGTCATTTGTCCAACAAAACAGTCCTAAATCGGCCGGGAATAGAGCGAGACGACCTCTCAGTCGTTATTTATTCAAGAGCACCAAGCAGCACGACTAGCTTGGTGTCCAGTTCAACGTCACTGGAATTTGATGTTATGAGGAACGGTCCACTGGTGGGAAAGTCGATTTCTTTTGTTCACGACTGAATATTTGGCAGAAACATTGCATATATGCAGAACAAGCAAGTACCGTTTGGCGGGTGTTCATTGATGGTGTCTCTCACATGACTGTAAACTTTACTTTATGACGATCAGGTAAAACCTGATAACGATACATCACTGACATCCTAGATGCCGTTGTTATACCACATTTCGATGAGCATCCAAAAAACACAGGGCCATTCTTCATTTCACGGGTTAAAGCGTTGGCTCGTCACGCCGAAGACCCGGGTTCGAATCCCCACATGGGTACAATGAGTGAAGCCCATTGTTGGTGCCCCCCGCCGTGATATTGCTGGAATATTGCTAAAATTGGTGTAAAACCAAACTCAGTCAGTCAGTCAGTCTTCATTTCACGACAGTGCTAGGCAACACCGTGGACATGCAGTCGGTGATTTCTTACGCCAAGAAGCGGGGGCAACTTTACCTTGGCCCACCAGGAGCCCAGGGCCCCGTTCCTCAAAGCATGTATGGGAAATACGATCGTCTTAGGGTTAGGATCGCTTTTAGGAACGGGGCCCAGATTTCAAACCCATAGAGCATGTTCGAGACATCATAGGCCGCAGAATATACCAGAGAAAAACTCCCATACCAAATCTGTGTGTATGAGGGTCAGGGTTGCATTAACCCTGTGATCGGTTATTGGTACTGATGTGATTTCTTGAGGATTGTATGCTAGAGTCTTAAAATGGCATTTGAGGTTTGGATAATTTCCTTTAAACGTATTGATACTATGAAAAATATGGGGTGTTGCGATACTTTTTCACCATGCGTATATGTTCGGTGAATTATCAGAAGGAACGTTGCTTGTCGACTGCTATAAATGAAAGTTCTCGTGGCATATTTTGACATATTAAATAAACTGCTCTCTATCAGCACATTACAGAGAAATAGTGTGAATAATCTGCCATAGAATGAATATGAATACTTATTTCTCTTCTGTTCAACACTACATCAAGAACATTCCGCACACATTATGTCACACCTTTCAGAATCACACAGCAATGCTTCAAGCAGTACTTCTGCTCGTGTGTGTGGGCGGGGCTCTCTCAGCAAGCACCAAGGGTATGTATTGTTTCTTTTCGTGTGTGTCACCCGTGAAGATCCGGGTTAGAATTGGTCTTTAGCAACCCATGCTTGTCATAAGAGGCTACTAACGGGATCGGGTGGTCAGACTCGCTGACTTGGTTGACACATGTCATCGTATCCCAAATGCGTAGATCGATGCTCATGCAGTTGATCACTGGATTGTCTGGTCCAGACTCGATTATTTACAGACCGCTGTCATGTAGCTGGAATACTGCTGAGTGCGGCGTAAAACAACAACCAAACTAAACCAAATGTTATGACATTTGTGGGTGGACTGTCTGTCGTGAAGCAGCAAGGGTATGTATTGCTTCTTTCGGTGTGTGTGAGCGGGGCTCAGCGGTCTCTCGTGAAGCAGCAAGGGTATGTATTGCTTCTTTTGGTGTGTGTGAGCGGGGCTCAGCGGTCTCTCGTGAAGCAGCAAGGGTATGCATTGCTTCTTTTGGTGTGTGTGAGCGGGGCTCAGCGGTCTCTCGTGAAGCAGCAAGGGTATGCATTGCTTCTTTTGGTGTGTGTGAGCGGGGCTCAGCGGTCTCTCGTGAAGCAGCAAGGGTATGTATTGCTTCTTTTGATGTGTGAGCGGGGCTCAGCGGTGTGTGCTTCTTTGAGCGGGGCTCAGCGGTCTCTCGTGAAGCAGCAAGGGTATGCATTGCTTCTTTGGTGTGTGTGAGCGGGGCTCAGCGGTCTCTCGTGAAGCAGCAAGGGTATGTATTGCTTCTTTGGTGTGTGTGAGCGGGACTCAGCGGTCTCTCGTGAAGCAGCAAGGGTATGCATTGCTTCTTTTGGTGTGTGTGAGCGGGGCTCAGCGGTCTCTCGTGAAGCAGCAAGGGTATGTATTGCTTCTTTTGGTGTGTGTGAGCGGGGCTCAGCGGTCTCTCGTGAAGCAGCAAGGGTATGTATTGCTTCTTTTGGTGTGTGTGAGCGGGGCTCGCTGAGCAGGCAGTCGTGTGTAGAGCTTCCTGTGGCTTATGTGATC